CAAAGATAACCTTTCACCAGAAATTAACACTATTAACATTTTTTAGTATATCCTTCTGTTCTCTTTTGGATTTACATACACGCTTTTTTCTAAACCAGGGATCCTTCCTAGGATACTATGAATATTTCTCCATGGCATTGAATTTAGTATTTGTAACAGCTGGATAGTGAGTGGCATCATGGTAATCTGTCATAAGGGCGGACCAGAATTTATTTCACCAAGCCCCTGTCATGGGTATGTAGGTTGTTACCATATTGTAGATAATGCTGCAGTTCCTTTTTTTTTTTTTTAAAGATTTTAATTTTTTTGACAGAGATCACAAGTAGGCAGAGCAGCTGGCAGAGAGAGAGAGGAGGAAGCAGACTCCCTGCTGAGCAGAGAGCTCAATGCGGGACTCGATCCCAAGACCCTGAGATCATGACCTGAGCCGAAGGCAGAGGCCCCAACCCGCTGAGCCACCCAGGCGCGCCCCTGCAGTTCCTATTCTTAATCAAACTTTGCACTTTTTACTTCTTTCTAATTATTTCCTAAATATTTCCTAGAAGCAAAATCACTGGTCGTAAACCAAGAATGTTTCCAAATCAGTTCCAATTCTCAGTGTGGTATCAATTTGCTGGTAGTACTTACCTTAGAATATGCTAAATCGGGTTATGTCCTTCCTACTTCCTTATCCCCATTCTTGCAAATCAAAACAAAACCTTAGAACAAAGATCAACAGGGGCACCTAGGTGGCTCAGTGGGTTAAAGCCTCTGCTTTTGGCTCAACTCATGATCCCAGGGTCCTAGGATCAAGCCCCGCATCGGGCTCTCTGCTCAGCAGGGAGCCTGCTTCCTTCTCTCTCTGCCTGCTTCTCTGACTACTTGTGATCTCTGTCTGTCAAATAAATAAATAAAATCTTTAAAAAAAAAAAAAAAACAAAGATCAACAGCAGCCTTTCAGAAAAAAGCATACCTGTGTTTTTGTCAATCTTTTTTTTTTTTTTTTTTAATTAACATCTTCATGAGCTGCAGGCATGGGTTAGCAATCATGGTCTATTGAGCCCCACAAGCTAGGATGGCTCTTCTAGGGTTTGATGATGTGCAAGCATCTCCTTGGCATTTCCCAGAGGCCTCTGGCCTGGAGCACTAGTTTTTGTCTTGGTCCTCCCTGGCAGAGCAAAGCACTCCCCTTTCTTGTCCCCAGAGTCTTTCTTTGGGCTTGGGACAGTCCCATAGTCTTGGTGCCAAACTCCTTTGCTGTGCTGGGGGCGGAGGGGACTCTGGCTGCAGGTTGTGGATGCTGGGCATATCTCCTGGTCTGCCCATCCCCCTTCAGCCCCTGTTCAGTCAGCCTGCAGCACCTGCACTTGTCACCTAGAGCTGCTGGTACCCTTGATGGGAAACGGGGATCATTTACTATAGTTCTAATGCGGGGTTTTACCAACTTTGGGGCTCCTTGATGGGCCGGGAAGTAAATTTAGGATTTTAGGGAAAAAAAATCAGACTCTATCACAGCAGTGGTAGGTATTGTCTCATGAAACCTTTCCTCAAATGTTATATATACAAACTGTATTGGTCCTATTCAAAAACTTTAAAGCCAAGGCTATAAACTCAGGTCAGGATTCCTGTGAGATTATGAGGTATACTTCAGTGGGAAAGTGTGATCTTCTTAAAAATTTTATTAGCTAAGCTAATAACTGGAAGGTCATGTGACTTAATGGAGAAAACTTGAGCTTGGGGGTCAGAAGTGGGTCAATATTGTTCCTTTCTCACTAGCTGTGTGACCTCAGGCGACTTAAGGAATGTCTCTGAGCCTCCTTTTCATGACTTGTAAAAAAAACAATAAGCATCCTGGCCTGTAGGATCACTATGGAGGGTTAAATGAAATGACTGGTCTATAGCGCTCCCCACACAGGAAACATGTGATAAATAAAGCTTATTTTTCTAGTCTTTCTTCTTCTATACAGCACAGTCAGACTCCTCATTCCTCGCAAGAACACATGCTACCTATGACATCACCAAAAATGGTTCTGTTTCTCACCCGAGGGACCCCTCTACTTCAGTCTCCTGCTCTCTGTGTGGTTTGTCGTGATAAGAAGTGTTTCCTACGAAAGGAATTGTTCATCAAAAAAATTTTAGAATCACAGATCCTAGCCATAAAATAATAAGGACCCAACTTAGGACTTGCAAGCTCAAGTGTCTAGCCTTGGTCACCCGCCAGGCAGGAAGCATGAGTCGAGGAGGAGTCAAGTAGAAAGCTTAGGTAGTGGTGGGGATTGTGGCCCGACCACAGGAGGGACACCCCCTTCGAGGGAGGCAGCCCTGATTCATGTTGCAAGATTGTCACCCTGTCGAAGTGTGGATGCAAGCTTATCAGATCTCTGATTTTACAAAAGACGCCAAATATCTGGACTTCTTCAATGTGGAAAAAATCCAACTCTTAATAAACACTGTGTTGGCTGAATGAAACATCCGTGTATCTGATGAGGCCAGCGGCCAGAGGCCGGCCAGTTTGCCCTCTGATCTAACTTTATGGCTCACCTGACTTAGTCCAGTCACCCCTGGACTAGGCTCTCAAGGAAAAAACCTCCCAAGGTACCCCTGGAAAATGCTCTTAACATTATTTTGTAGCAAAAGTACAGTAAGCACATAATCTGTAACTCCAATAATAGATGAAATTTACACCTACTGAAGAGGAAAGCCACCATTTTCACAAGGTGTTCAATAGCGGGAGCAGCAGCAGGGAAGGACCGGGCAAAATTAGCTAGTAGGTAGTATTCTTTCATCCCCTCTACATTTGTTTGGTTAACCAAACCCACCGCTAAAACATTTATTCCTTTTTTTTTTTTAATAGCTTTATGGAGCTATAACTCACAATTTAGTGATGGTTGGCATATTCACAGGGTTATACACCCATTACTATAATCTGATTTTAGAACATTTTTGTCCCCATAACCATTAACAGTCACTCCCCTTCCCTCCAACTCCCAACTCCTGGCTACCACTGATCTACTTTCCATCTTTATAAAATTTCTGCATTCTGGGTGTTTCATGTGGATGGAGTTGTACAATATGTGGCCTTTTGTCACTGGCTTTTTTCACTTAGCCTCATGTTTCCAAGGTTCCTCCATGCTGTAGCACGAGTCGGTCTTCGTTCCCTTCTGTCGCTGATAATATCGAGCCGTATAGATGACCACATTTCATTTATCCACTCACCAGTTGAGGGGTATTGGGTTGTTGCCACTTTTTGATTATTACAAATAAGGCTGCTATGAACGTTCATGTGCAAGTTTTTGTGTGGACGTGTTTTTGTCTCTCTTGGATACATACCTAGGAGTGGGGATTGCTGGGTCATATGGTAATTCTGTGTTTAACCTTTGGAAGGCCTGTCAGACTGCTTTCTGAGGGAGCTGCACCGTTTTACACGCTCACCCCAGCCGTACATGTTGTTTCCAATTTCCCCACATCCTTACCCACACTTGCTGTCATCCCTCTTTTTGCTTACAGCCAATCTCGTAGGTGTGCTAAAGCATTTATTCTTAAGGTTTATGACGCTTTCGATACAGCAGCTGAAGTTGGTCTGTGGATGTGTTTCTTGAGATCAAGATCTCCAATAGTGATCTTTTTTGAACTAGATCATCATTTCCTATAAAGTTTTACTAATAAGTTTTCCCCTCCTCAGGTATACCATTCTTTCACTAGGCAGAGAATTTATTAAGAAAAGGTATGATATCTCCTCCTTATTCACCAGTGAAATATTCCAATTCTAGAGATATTTCTGGTATATAACAGTTTCACGACTGTTCTTTCTTCCTCGGCCCTCAGTGCAGCCCACAGCTGAAGCCATTGTTTGCCCACGTGCAAGCCACATTCAGACAAAACTCTGGCTGGGGGCAGAAGCACTTAAGCAACTCCAGACCAGGTCCCCCTTCTACGCACCCTGTCAGATACCGCCTCTCTGCCCTCCACCTCTGGTCTTGCTTTGTGCCTATCCTGTAACACCCTTTCAGCTTAGATAAAGTATCACTAGTCACAAGAATTGCGGAAATGGAGCACAGACCTTAGGGGCTACCTAGAAGTCCCTGCGTGGGGGATTGGGAGGCTTGGAACTCAGTGTCCTAACTTGTGGTCCAGACTTCACAAACCTGTCTCTTCTTTTCCTGAATTCCTTTCTCCTTTATTTGTAGCACCCTTGGGTGGGGGGGAAAAAAGGCTTTGAGTATGTATGATCCATAGTATGGCTGACCTCATCAGACATTTTGGTTTACTATTTCTACTCTTTTTCAGAACCTGACCCTTTTCAAGAAGGAGAGACAAGAGAATTCACATAGCTTGAATTTAGGACTTATTCCATTGGGAAGGAATCAGTATCCTTCAGCCAAAAACTTAGCAGCCCCATCTGCATTATATATATATATACACACGTATATATATATTTATATAAATTTATATATAATTATACACATATATTTATATATTTATAAATATATATTTATATGATTATATAAATATATAATAAATATATATCTATATAAATATATAATAAAATATATATTTATATATAAGAATAATAATGATATAAATATATTATAATATATAAATATATTATAATATATAAATATATTATAAAATGTAATATGTATAATATATTACATATTATATATATTTTTATATATAAATATAAATATATATATACATATATATTTACATTAGAGTTAAGCTTCAAAGGCCTGTTAGAAGCAACCTTTGGGTATACATTCTTGCGGTTTTCTGTGATAAATTCTTATTTGGCTTGCCATAGTTCATGGTATCCAACAAGGAATGACCTTGGTCTAGTTGGAAACTGCTATAAATGCTAAAAATGTATGCATCTGCCTAAATTCGAGATCCCCTCCAGTCCCCCAACCCCACCTTCCCCCTTTTAAGGTATAAGAATAAGATGCAGTTGGCACCTATCCTCATCTTAGTATCCTAACATTTACTTATTACTTACTATTCTATTTTCCTGCCTTCTGATTTAGAGACACCCAAATGCTTATCTCCAAAGATGGAAGAGGAAGATTAAAACAATAATTTGCAGTAAGTATTCTTTCAGCTGTTAATTCATTTATTCCACAGACTTTATTTAGTGCTTGCTAGGTGCTTGGGATACAAAGATAAGCTAGGGTCCCTGCTTTAAAGGGATGCAGTACAGTAGGACAAGCAGACACAGAATGGGATAGTACACTTGTGAGCACGGTAATTAATGTACAGAATAGTATGGGGTCAAAGAAAAGAAGCATTTCATCTATCCTATAGGAGATCGAGGCAGGCTTCAGGAAGGATGTAAACTATATTAATGAAAATCTATAAATCAATTAGCTAAATCAGGTAGGGAGAGAGTGTTCAGGATTTTAGAATTAGTTATCTTTGTAATTTAGAATAAAATACCCAATAACTCTAAAGTAAAATTTATGCTAATTTCTGGCCAATGACTCATGTTGAAGAAGCAAGGGTTCTAACATCATGAATAAGTGAACATCAAGGTTGCAGAACTAGAGCTAGAAGTTTGTAGGTTTATTTAAAAGTTTCCTTCCTTTTTATGTTTTACCCTCCCTAAGTTGTGGAAAAACAAATATGAGAAATGTGCCTAAGTGGAGCTTTTTATATTCTTATCTCTGACATGGCCTCTGTTACACTTGGGAGTATATAAAGGCATCATCACTAGAATGGATGAAAATTAGTGTTGAGTCTTTAGAAAAAAAAAAGCTTAATTAGATTTGCAACCACTGCCCTCATATAAAATTAAAATGATCAAGAAAAACTCAAGTTTAATTGCACTTGATGTTTTTCTAAGTCATGGGTTTGAAGGGATCAACATGACATTGAAACCTTTGGAAAAAAAAAAGGTTAATCTTTACAACAACCCAGTAATCACCTCCATTTTATAGTTGAGCCACTTGAAGCACAAAGTGGTTAAAAAACCCAGAATTATACAGCTGAGTAGCATAGCTGGGATTTGAACCCAGGTCTGTTTAAATCCAGTGCCTATTACTTACTATACCACTCTGCTTAAGTGGAAACCTGTGTGGACCCGTTGCTTTCCTGTGGTTCTGTCACCATGAACTTAGCCTGGCAGGAGTAAACTGTTTTAGAAAACTGGTAAAAGTGTGTGGTTGGGACAGTGCAAATCCAACATTGCTCCTGAAAAATATTGATGATGCTATCTTCAAATAATGGTCAAATTTCGATATCGTGGATGCCATTTAAGATGTCAACAATTTTTATGACTATTTTGCAATATAGTCACTGAGAATGTAAAGCAGAATTGAAGTAAATGTCTAGATTTGAATAGAGAGCAAAATTTGATTCATAGAGGAAGTAGACAAGAGTAAATATGTATGAAAATAACAGAAAAGTTAACGTTAGATGTTTACTTTTTAATTACTGAACGTACATTATACTAGTTTATATATTCTTTAATATTATACTCATTTTCACATGCAGGTGTCACGCATTGTCCATTCAACAAGACTATAATCCCTGAGACCAGTCATGTATTTTTTTTTCAAGAAAAGGAGTAAGCATTAAAACCATAGGTCAGGAAAGGTTATCTGAGCCTATTCTCAAACAGTTTAATGAATGGGAGCAAATACATTAGGTTATGGATGCTTGAAGTGGCTGTAAGAAATGAAATTAACATAAAAAGTGATTTATTTTAACTTTGATCTATTACATTGGGAGGAATTGGCTGGTGGATTTAGAAGTGTATAAATACACCAGTAGAGAGTGAAAAAGGGGAAGTCTGTTATAACTGAATAGGGGTGTGGTCTGCTTAGGCTAAGGAGGAATAGATAATAGGTTCATGAAAGACTGATAGAGCTATAGTCTTCAGAACTGGCCATTATAGCTAGTACATTTTCTTTACAGACATAATAAGTATGCCTATTAATACCAGCCAGCTAGGTGAGTTTAGAGAAACCACAGCCTGTGGATTTGGGCATATGCACTCTCTGCCTGCATCTAATCCTCGGGGTAACAATATACCTACAACTGCTGTAATCCTAGAGCAGTTACATGGATGCACTAAGTGGTGTGATGGGAGGGAAAGATAGCATCACAAGGATTCGTTTGATTATAACAGTAATCCACACCAAGTCAAATAAAATAGCCAAACAGTTAAAAATGTGGTCTCTAATGAATTTGCTAATTCTAGCAGGCCCTCACAAACATTTCCTGCTAGAGTGCCCCATATCAAGACGAAGTAGCTGTGCTTTAATTACATGGATTAATTATTTGATTTCCAGGAAGTTAAAACAGTGCTTTGTATTTAAATAAAAAGTTCTAGACATGCTGTGAAACTCGATCAAACCAAGAAAAAGAGTGAAACTGAACGCCTGTTCAGTGAGTCAAGATTTCAGCTGCTCAGCAAGCTTGATGTTACGGGTTATGAGCCCAGAAAAGGGGTATTTTAAAACCGGCTGACTGGATCGTGTCACTTTGTTATAGGAAAAGCCCTGCCTTTCCAGAGATCTAAAGTGTAATGAAACCGTATGCTGTTGAGGGGCTCGAATCTTGGCTGTCTTCGCCCCTCTGCACTAGCGGATACCCCAATTTTCAGGGGACGTGATCTCATACTGTCGCCCTCACTTTTGAAGGTCTGTTAAAATTCTGGGGTCTCTTATCTCAATGGCTTTGGAAGTGAGTTTGGGGTAAGAAGGGGGGGGGAGGCCTGTGAGTGTCTCTTTTGCCTGAGGAGTTGGAGACACTTGTGGAAAAGTCAGGCCCTTTTCGCTCCGGCGGCCGCTCCGGTGTGGGGCTGGCTTGGGTTAGACACATGCACACATACACCATAGAGCTCTGCTTTCCCGTAGCAGCTGCTGCCTCTGCCTCTGCCTCTCCCGCCTCAGCCTCTTTGCCCGGCATACACACACATTCAGATTTGCGCGCTGTTTCAATCCTTGATGACGTGTCCCCGGAGACAGCCAATAGCAAACGGGCTCTGGTCAGGACAATGGGAGGTATCGGGCCAATGAGCGAGCCCCGTGAGTTGGCGGTAGCCAATAGGAGCCGCGCTGGCTGGAGAGTAATGTTACAGAGCGGAGAGAGTGAGGAGGCTGCGTCTGGCTCCCGCTCTCACAGCCATTGCAGTACATTGAGCTCCATAGAGACAGCGCCGGGGCAAGTGAGAGCCAGACGGGCACTGGGCGACTCTGTGCCTCGCTGAGGGTGAGTCTGGGGCAGCGCCGCGGCGGGGAGAGCGCCTCCGGCAGCTCCCCACCCCGCGCGGTGGCCGGATCCCCGCGGCCGGGAGCCGGCGGGTCAGGATCCACACAAAGGCAAATGAGGGGGGACCGTGGGGGGAACTGCGCACGGAGCGAGCCTCTTCTTGGGCGCCGGGAGCCCTGCCCCGCGCCGGAACCCCGGCCCACAGGCTGCCTGAGGCGCTGCGAACCCCGAGCCCCGCGAGTTTCCACCCCCGGCGGCGTCCGCGCTGACTGGCGCAAAAAAATTTTTTTAATTAAAAAAAAAATTTTTAACGTGTTTTCAGCCCCCGGGCCGAATGTTCGGGCGGCCGGCGTTCGCGGGGGGCGGCGGGCGGCGGGGCCGGCGGCGGGAGGGCAGGCGGGCGGGCAGGCGGGCAGGCGGCGGCGCTTCACGGGCTGCATTGGCCGCCGCAGAGAGACGGGCGCCGGTGGCGAGCGCAGGCGGGCGGGCGGGCGGACGGGCGCTGCGGGCGAGGCGGCGCGGTGGGCCGGGGGCGGCG